GGACAGGTTTGCTTTAGTTTCCTTTGAGAACCAGAAAGAGGGTTAAATAACACGATTTCTGGTGGGTTCTAGCAGCTGTGTGCTGTATTTTACGGGGTTGCTTCGGTAACATTTACTTCTGTGAGTAGGTAATACACTCCCAGTTCCAAACAGCCACTGGCAAGTGAGCGTTCTGAGTGCAGGCAGTAGAGGCCGCACCTGCCTATGCTTGTCTCAAAGTCAAAGCCTCCAGGCTCATCTTTGATCCTGACTTTTCAGCCCTGCTCTGCTAGAATCTTGGAACTGTCGCTGTGATGTCCCCTCCTCCACCTGGGGATACACGGCGGGTCTAGACCACGGGAATAGGAAGTCCCTTAGGGTGGATCCCTGGGCCTGTGTAAGTTACTATGGGGGAAGAAATGCTTGCTTGCCTCTTCTGGGCTGTGGTGGGCTGCAGGACAGCAAGGATCTGCGTCACGCCCAGAGCCTGAGGCAGGCCCTTCACGAGGAGAGCCGGATATGGCTCATTCCAGTAAACAAGTGCTAGAGCAGGACCTGAGGCCACAGCCAGCCTCTGCTTCCAGAGGGACCAGAGGCGACACACATCATCAAGGATGTGCGTGGCAATCAAGCGGTTCTTCAGGGCTTATCTGGGCCTAGGATGCAAAGAGGAAGCTCATGCGGTAGGCGGAGCGTTTCTTGCCAGGCCTCTAAGGATGCAGGGCATATATAAATGTGTGGACGTGTTCCAGGGCTCACCCCGGGATAATCTGGGGGCCTTGTTAGTGTGCCTTCCAACACAGACCTCTGGAGCACAGCCCAAGTACCTGTTTTCACGTTTACCAGATGACCAGGCGTCTGGGCTGAGAAGTATGAAAGGCAGTGAGACTCCAGCTGTGGCCTCCAGAACCCTGGGCTGAAAGCCTATTAGGGCCTACGTAGAACGTGAAGTAGAAGCAAAATGGGTGTCGCACGTGTTGGCGGCACGGAAACGCCCTTCGTCACTCGTCGATGCCCGTGTGCTGTTAGTGCTAAGTCCAGCATTTGTCATTCTTTAATCCCCACATTTAATTTTCATTTTAATCCACTCTAGAGGGAGAAAATAAGAGGCTCAGAGATGTTAAGCAGCGTGGTCATAGTCACAGTGATAGATCTGGGTTGTCAGCGTAGATGTGTGAAACAGAAAGGACCCTCGGCCACAGAGCCCTTAAATGACCGGAGACAGTTCTTGTCTAGGCATGGCTGCTTCTGTTCGCTGAAGGGTCTTGCCTGTGCCAAACCCACCCCCGATGCCCTTTTTAATAATGTGTGATAACCCATTATATTTTTGACTGCCCTTGGGCATAACTGGATCTGTCGAGATGTCTCCTTTATACACTGTGTGGAAAAGTTGGGATGCCCCTTTTCTGTTGCCAGGGCAAAGACTTCTCGTTCACAGTAACTGCCCCAAACCACCCTGAGGCGTGTTCCCTATTCACTGCATTCCAGAGAACAGACTCATGTCTCAGACAAGCACTCCTTTGCATAAGGGGACAGCTGTGCCCTCAGAGATCACATCTAAACTCAAGTTCATTTCACACCCCACATCCCCTGCTTTCACTTGATGGGGAAATGGGTCCTTACAGCTGCCACCTATGATGCTTAGCCACCTTCGCACACCCAGCAGCCCCTCAGGGGGCACAAATGTAAGCCAGCACTTTACACGGTGGGGCCCAAGAGGAGGAATCAGGGAGCAGCAAGGTCCTGGGGCACAAACTCCTAAGTGGCTTTGGGGACAGCATGAGGAACATCCACATGCCGTGTGCCTGGTTAGGGGGTAGGAATCCCATGTTCCTTAGCTTCTCCTGGCAGTGCCAGCTTCCCAGCGTGGCCATACATTTTGGCCAGGGTGGAGGGTGGTAGGACCATCGTGCCGGGCAGAGTCCGTGCCGCTCTGGAGTAGGTTCGGTGTTTGTTGCTGCCCGAGCCCCACGGCTCTGCCAGCCTTGGTAGGTGCCTTGAGAACTCCCTCCTCCCTCATGGAGAATGCAAATTGCCACTTGGCTTGATGACCTGTAATTAATCTTATCTCAGCGTTCAGCCCATAAATCATGCTGCAGGTTTGTTTTGGGTTTGAAAATGGAAATGCACTTGAGTATCCTGAGAGGTGAACTCGCTTTGATCTTGACAGGTAAACTCAAAGTACAAAACTCCCAGAATATTTTTCACTTAGAATGTGCTGACGGGAGGTTAACGTGTAAGAATCACGGCCATTTCCAGGGCGGTTGGATATTTTATGACTAATTGCTATAATTACTTGCTTGCTCAGACGCTGGTTTCCCTGGCTACAGAGATAGTTTGTGAAAAGGAAAAATGGAGATTTGACCAGAAGTTTACATAGAAACAGGTTCTCTCTCTCCCTCCCTGCTGCCTACAGCTTCTTTCAATTCTGGCGATAGAACCAGGGCCTCAAGGCTCACACCAGGCAAGCCCTCTGCCGCAGAGCATCACCTCCAGGAACACTTTTGAACTAACTGGGAACGAACTGAGAGAATTTGCTGGAGATAGGAGTGTGGACAGAAAGCCAACCATTAACTAGCCAGTCAGCTGCCTTGCCGCTGGGGAGGAGGGCGGGGGCGGGGGCGGTGGTGGGCGAGGGCAGACCGAAGCCTTGAAACACAGTCGGGTGCTGGGGTGCCACAGGCAACCTGCTCTCTGCTCAGCCTGGGATGATGGTGCTCACGTGCTTCTGGGCATTTTCCGTCCATGGGTAAATTAAAAGCCTGCCAGGAGGAGGTCTGCGCTGTAATACTGACCTCTTTTGCTGTCCTCCTACCCCGCAGGATAAAAATATCTTTTAGAAAAGCTTTCAGGAGAGAATTCTTAGAAACCAACCTTCTTAACAACCTGTACTTCTCCACCCTGGATCAGCTTGCTCTCAACCATTGTTACTGGAGGCAGGTGCTGGGAGAGCCAGAGCAGGGCTCCGGACAATCAGTAAGACAGGAATAGTCAGGAAGGCTATTCCAGCACCCAGGAAGGCCAGGTGCCTTATGGACCCAGACTGGTAACTGGAAGGAGTTTTCCCCTGGGAAAGGCAGGGAATGAATTGAAGGGAGTTTGTTTTGTGGCTGCAAGGGGCTGTGACTTTGTGTCCCAGGTGCTATGATCAAAGTGGGGGTGCCATAGAACCCTAGAAAGGAAAGCCAATAGAGAGAGACGGTCCCCTGGGGAGAAGAAACCTGCCCTCTCCTATTGCCTGAGGGATGGTCAGAACAGGTTTATTTTATTTTTATCAAGTTAGAAAGCATTGGAAAGATATTTCAGGAAACTAGAGCTTTATGATGGCTGAGATAAAAATAGAGACTAGGATATTGTCCTTCCAGGAGCTGCTCATCACCGCTGCCAAGAAATGAAGACCGTGCCTTAGGGGCTGAGCCCTAGGAAACACACGTTGCCCCTGAAAGCACCAACCCACAGGTTTCCATCCTTGCTTCAGGATGCCCAGGGGAAAAAACAGAGTCCAGAACACACGATTGGGCTCTTGAGCCTCCTCCCTTCCCTAGGGTCTGTCCTGGGGTTAGTCTGTCCGGTGATGGAACAGATGCTCCAGGCAAGACAGAGACGAGAGTAAAGGGCCAAGCCTGAGCAGTTGCTTCAGCTCTGTGTCATCCTCACCCCTAGGGACAATTTCCACACCCACTGTTTGGTCTCCAGGTTCCTCTGTGTTTAGCTTAAACTTGGAAAACCAAGTTTAAGATTGACCTGTCTTTAACTGTATTAATATCTCAGCGTTCTCTCTCTCTCTCTCTCTCTCTCTCTCTCTCTCTCTCACACACACACACACACACACACACCTATTAAAGACCCGATGAGCAGTTACTTATGGCACATGAGGGAATGCATGGTTATATTTAAAGTTTATCAGGGCCAGGGCTTTTACAGTGGTAAAGCACGTATGTAGCATGTGTGAAGCCATGGTTTGCTCTCTGGCACCACAAAGAAAAAGGTCTTTACCAAATCTAGTTGAGGTCACAAAGCAGAGAGCATGAGGAGGCCAGACACCAGCACAAAAGGTGAGCAGAACGAGGCTCCGTCTACACAGATTATGTGTCTGAAACCCCTGTTCTTCACAGTGACATTTGCACCGTCGAGGCTGAGGTAGGATGGGGGGGGCCAAACAGCTGGGCAGGTAGACCCAGAGTTCTTATGTAATTGCACATCTGTCTACATGTAACTGAATTATCCCTTGTCGCTCTAAATAGTTTTGGCAACAATCAATCCTTTTAAATCCTAAATTTTCTATTTTGCAAGTAAAAAAAAAAAAAAAAAAAAGAATCCTTTGGGCACAAAACTAGTTACTCTCACCTGCTGGTGTTTGTGTCTAATCTTTGACAATATTTATATGCACAGTTTTTCAGTGTGTGTGTGTGTGTGTGTGTGTGTGTGTGTGTTGGGGGGACTCTATGCCTGCTAAGCAAATGAGATACTACTTACTCGTACACCTAGCTCCTCACGATCGTTTTGTCTTTACATCTGTTGATGGGGAGAGTTGTGGGCTGTACAGAGAGTGACGATGCAGCTCAGCTAGTAGAGGGCTTGCCCAGTGGGCAGAGTCCTGTGTCCCAGTGTGGCATAAACCAGGCATGGTGGTGCACATTTGTGAGTCTAGCACTCAGAGTAGAATCAGGAGGCAAGCCCAAGGCCAGCCTGGGATTTTTAACCCCCTATCAAAGAAGGAAAGGGAAGAAAAGGATAAGGAAAAAGAAAGGGGAAACCCCTGAAAACCCTTGCAGGTAAGAGCAGAGCACTGACTCTCTTCCTATGGTTGGGCTTTGAGGGTGACGTGATTGCTGCCATTGTGAGAAGGGCTAAGAGTCCACTTCTGGAAAGGAAAGACACAATCTCAACAAAGCAAAGGCATAGTCTAGTTCCTAAACTGTCAGGAGTTTAAGAAATGGAAAGTAACCGGGCAAGTCTTGGCCGTGTCTGGTTTATAGCAGGCAGGAGGTTTAAAGTCCAAAAGGGCTCAGGTTACTACTCCATGTGGGGAAGCCTCATCCCCGGTCCAGAAGAGAGCCCAGCTCCTTCCCTGCACCCCATCATGGTAGCGAGATGAAGGTGCAGCTGCCAGGGTCCAGCCTTCTGCAGGGGCGCGTGGGAACGGGACACCTGAGGGCAGGGGCCTTCACACTCTTCTCCTTGACCCCCATGGATGAGCACACCGGCATGGTCGCGGCTGCAGTGACAAGTGGCTTAGCCCCAGAAGTTGCTGACAAGTGGCAAGCAGTATGAATGGTGAGGAGCCGAGACCCACCTGGCCCAGAGGGTTGATGGGAAGGCAGAAAGGTGGAGCACAGGTGGACTGGACACAGCTGCAGGCCACAGCTGGAATCTTCCTGGAGCCAACCAGGAAGGCTGAGAAAAGACCCAGATAGAGAGCTTCCGGCACCTCCCAAGGCGGGGGGGGGGGGGTTGCCTTGTCTTTTCCTCTGCAGACCACCTTGGTGGGGTGCAAATCTAACCAGGTGCTCGGCTTAAAGGCCAGAGACGACTGTCCCTTCTGGCTGGCAGGCAGAAGATACGCCTGCCTTGCTGCTCACAGGCCTGGCATCCAGGATGGGGCTCTCTGGCTCTGCAGGGAAGCTCTCCTGGCATTCCTCTGGGTTACTGATAAACTACAGGGGGCATTTGTGTCCTTCTAAATGACGCAAGCGCTGGGTCTTAAGTAAAGCCTGTGCGTAATCTTGGTGATTTGCTATTTTTGTTTTGTTTCCTTTTCGAATTACTTGATGGCGGTTTGACACCCTCCATTCGTTTGTTGAAAAACTTAGTTGATTTTATGGACTCCGAGCAAACGGGCTGGCTTTCAGATAACAGCACCTGTAATCCTGTCAGCTAAGATCATTTGGGCTGTGTGACGGAGCTTGCTGGGATGGTTTGATGCCTGTAATCCCAGCACCCAGGAAGCTGAGATAGGAGAGCTGCTGGAAGTTCAAGGCCAGCTCAGGCTACAGAGAGAGTCCTTGTCTTAAAACAAACAAACAAAAGCATGGGTGACTAATACCCCAAACAAATCTCTAATCTTTCCCCCCTTTCTCATTGTGTGTTTTCAACAGAGCTCTCGCTCCTGTCACTGTACCACTGAGGCAAGATCCAAAGCTGAGCACCAAGAACTAGTTTGTGTCCTTGGCAGATGGGCATTGGTGTCATTGGCTGACCAGCAGCATGGAGACCACGCCCTTGAATTCTCAGAAAGCACTGTCAGCGTGCAAGGACAGAGAGGACTGTCAAGAAAATGGTGTTCTACAGAAGGGTGTCCCCACCCCAGGGGACAGGGCAGAGCCTGGCCAAATATCCAACGGGTACTCTGCAGTTCCCAGCAGGAGTGCTGGAGACGAAGCTCCACACTCCATCCCAGGGGCCACCATCACCCTGGTGGCTGAGATTCGCCAAGGGGAGCGGGAGACCTGGGGCAAGAAGATGGATTTTCTCCTGTCCGTCATCGGCTATGCTGTGGACCTGGGCAACGTCTGGCGTTTTCCCTACATTTGCTACCAGAATGGCGGAGGTTAGTGCCACGGGCCACCAGGGGTGGGCTGGAGACCCTGTGGGAGGCCACAAGACAAGTGATAGCCTTACTGTCCTGTGTAAGTGAGGTGGGAGGAGAACGTGAGACCTCGGCTTTCATGCCAGCCAAGTCTCCAGCCAGCAGGCAGCCTAAGGTGGCCTGCGTGAGGCATTCAGGCTGTATGATTATGAAGCTGGCTGATCCGCGCCCTCCCGTGTACGCCTTGGGTTTGTGGTGTTGCCTGCGCTTCATTTGTAGAAGGGTTCCTCTCTCATCCCGTGTTGTTCAAACTTTTGTTTGTGAGTCAGAAGCAAGAGAGCACTAGCCACCCTGTGGGGAAGTCTCTCCCTCCTGCTGGCAGTTTCCGTGTGGAGTGTGGAGGTGTAAGGCCTGTGGGAGGAACACAGGGAGGGGGCTGGAAGGCTCCAGACCCTGCTAGGCCTTTGGACCTGTGTGAGGTCAGAGAATGGCACTGCTCTGTGTCCAAAGTCTTAAGTTATCAGACTTGATGTGATCAAAGCTGAACCCAGCTTCGGTGTGACATGACTGCCAAGCCCAAAGCGTGCATGGATGCATGTGCTCCTTGTGTCATAGATGGCCTGTCTTGTAAACCGCCCTAGTAAACCTAAGGCCATAGAGTAGTTACCTTGTTGACTGTGTGTGAGTTGGGGAGCCTGGGAGAGAGCAGAGCAGAGGAGGGGCGATAGGTGAGTAGGGGCTGGCCCTCTGTGTAGATACTGAGCAAGAAGAGGGGGTCAAGCCAGTGGACATTATTTTGGCAAGCTGTCTGAAAAGCAACTACAGGGAGGCCTGGGATGTTAATTTATGTTTGCCAGACTTCTGTGGTCTAACACTAAGTTTCTTTGTTTTTTGTTTTTGTTTGTGTTTTTATTTTGTTTTGTTGTTATTTTGAGACAGGGTTTCTCTGTGAAGCCCTGCCTGTCCTGGAACTCACTCTGTAGACCAGGCTGGCCTCAAACTCAGAGACCTGTCTGCCTCTGCCTCCCTCCCGAGTGCTAGGATTGAAGCCATTTGCCTCCACCACCTGGCCCGTTTCTTGATCTTTTAATGGCTACTCTGTGGCTAGGAAGACAGTTGCCTGGGACTTGGGAGGTTGCACACCCCTTACCCAGGATTGAAAGTCACAGTCTTCTTTTCTCCTGCTTGCCGCGACCTTGGCCTAAGCATTGCATGAGAGGCTGGGTCCTTGGTGACAGTTCTACCATAAGCCTGTCAGGTAAATCCTTTGCACAAATTGAGGTCCATTATAAAACCACACCATGAGTGTGGTTCTCAAGCCAGGTTTGCTCAGAGTGTAATTACGTGGATATTTCTGAGTCGCATCGGCTTCGGGTTTTTAGGGATGAAGCATGTTTTAGGCAGGAAGGTTATCAGGGAAAAATCTTAGCTGAGTCCCCTCTGGCCTAAAACTCAAGCTGCAGGTGAGCAATACTGTTGTTCTGTGAGAAGCTACCATCTTTAGCCATGCTCTCAAACAGCGATGGCTTGTGAGGAATTATTCTGGCCCAACAGAATGATATGGCCAAACTGGTCAGAATCAGTGGTCAAGGGGCTGGAGTCATAGGTAATATTGAGGAAGGAGGAGCCGGTTCCACGGGTCGGAGACTGCACCTGTGTTGATTATTGGACAGTTCAGCATTGTTCCATACCTGGACATCTTCATGAGGCCTGGGGTGAACCCTAGAATCTAGAGATCAGGTTTTAAGGTCACCAGTGCCTGTGGTGTGTGACTGTACTGGCGTCTTCTGGTAGGAGAGGAAATCAGAGCAAAGTGGAGGCGGCCTGGCCCCTGCTCTGTTGGCTCCCGCCCAGCCTCTTTCCATTTACTCTCAGGCTCCTCCTGCTATCATTTTTGCTTGCTTGTTTTTGCTTTGATTTGCCCCAAGAAGGCATCTTCAATGAAATACCCTGATGAAACCAGCTTAAGGAGAGTCTGTATGGCTCACGGTGCCAGGTTGCCAAGTTCTACATGGCAAGAACCGGAAGCAGCTAGTTACACGCATGCATGCGTGCTGGCCCAGCTAAGTGTCTCCTTTTCATTCAGTCCAGCGCCCAACCCATGAAGTGATGCTGCCCGCAGTCCGGGCAGGGCTTCTCATCTCTGCTTCCCCCACTAACGTCTTCCACAGGCCAACCCGATCAAGACGTCCTCATTGAGATGTCCTTCCCCATGATTCTACATTGTCAGCCATCACGCTAACCAGCCAGACAGTGGCTTACACTTGGCACAAAGCCCTAGGGCCAGGGAAGCCTCTTGTGAGCTCGTTGCCACATCCGTGGGCTGTTCTGAGGACAGATGTGGGTGGGAAGTAAACTTGTCCCCCTCCTGCCGCAGGGGCCTTCCTCCTCCCCTACACCATCATGGCCATCTTCGGGGGGATCCCGCTGTTCTACATGGAGCTTGCGCTGGGTCAGTACCACCGAAATGGGTGCATTTCTATATGGAGGAAGATCTGCCCGATTTTCAAAGGTAACTGAAGGGCTGGGGGATGGGGGAGCACTGGACAGGGTCCTTCCAGAAATGGCTGGGTCGTGGGACCGAGCTCTTTAATCTCTCAGGCTTCAAGGGTCTGAGCGGCCATGTGAACTTGGCCTTTCTCGCCCGCTGTCAGGGATTGGCTTTGCCATCTGCATCATCGCCTTTTATATCGCCTCCTACTACAACACCATCATAGCCTGGGCACTCTACTACCTCATCTCCTCCTTCACGGACCGGCTGCCCTGGACCAGCTGCCAAAACTCTTGGAACACTGGCAACTGCACCAACTATTTCTCTCAGGACAACATCACCTGGACACCCCATTCCACATCGCCTGCTGAAGAGTTTTACTTGTAAGCACGTGTGAAGGAGGGGGGGGGTCTGTTACGGACAGGCCACACATCCCTGGGGCTTGGTGTCCTAGGAGCCAACAACTCTTCAGCCCTTCCTTGGCAGGCTTCTTTTGAAGTGTTTCATTAGCATATATTAATTATACATCACAGGTTCCACTATGAGATTTTCATTCATGGGTATAATGTACTTTGCTTCATCCCTAACTCATCCCCAGCTCTTCCTAGTAGCTCCCCTTCTGTGGTCACATCTTCCTTTGTTCTTTTTGGTGACATGAGGGTTGCTCTCAGGAGCACGGACAGCTTCCCAGTGCTACCCCACTGAAGGAAGCGTCCTATCCCAGCAAACACTGACATCCGTGGCCCTTCAGGGGTGGGTGGGCCCTCGTGAGCCTGTCCCTGTCTCCTGGTGTGTTTCTGAGAGGTGAAGCAGTCAAGGATTAGGAAACAAATGCGAGTGTGGGCAGCATCAGTTCCCTGCAGGATTTGGAGTTTGGGCTCCAGCCCTCTGCTCCATGATCTGACCTTCCTTTGTCTCTGTACCCCAATATGATGGGCCAAACTGCTCCACCGTGTTCACACCGACTGCTACCTTCACTCCCCTGCACCAAAGCTATCCTACTGCTGCCTTTTCCTTCTCCAGCCAGTTTGCCATGGACGTCAAATACCCCATCGCTTCAGTTGTTCAGAACTTATTTCTGATTCGGTGTGATGTATGTATGTATGCTCTCTCTGTGTGTGTGTGTGTGTGTGTGTGTGTGTGTGTGTGTGTGTGTGTGT